TGTCATCCAGCAGCCCAGGGGCACCGGAGCAGCTTACAAACGGGGCTTTCTTGCCCCGGAGCTCGCAGGTAGCAATCCGCTACCTCGACCTCTGGGGCGAGAAAGCCCCGTTCGTAAGCGCGGATCCAACATAAGTCGGATCCGCGTAAGTCGGGGACTGCCTGTACATAAAGGGAGTAGCAATATGTGCTCAGCTTAAAAAGAAAAAACTGGTCCTTCCAGCAAAATTGTATGAAACTTCACAGAGGTAATCAAACTAAGTGAAGAAATTTTACATTCTAGACTAAGAAAAAGAATCTGGAGAAAAGCAAAAAACACTGTTTGTATTTATAATCAAATACTCATCACAAACTTTAATAAAATCCACCATTACCATCCTATGACTGCCAACCTTAACAGTGAGTTGCAGCATATCTAGAAGGCCTGAGAACAATCAGAATGCTACATGACAAAGTAGACTTTACTGAAGAACCTGAGTGATCCATGAAGAACATTCATCACTGGAGAACATTGCATATTACTAATTTCTTTTTTCTTGCTTCATGACAATCAGTACTTGTCTGTTAAAATAACAAATCCTTTAGTTCTAAATATGGCCTCTGGAAGTGGACTTACGAAAGTTTGGGATCTTCTTCAGAGTTTTTTTCTGTCCTGGTCAGGCACTTATAGAAGAAGCTGCTAAAAACGTGTGACCGCTCTGCAAGCTGCTTTGGTGCTTTCTCCAACAGAAGATATCTACCAAAAAGATACAATTGCATCTTTTTACTACTTATGTGGAAATTAGCTTCCTCTTCAACGTAATTTCCATTAAAATATTAAGATATATCAAGGTTATTTTATATTTTGCAATCACTTATTTTCACAGCTCCTATCCAGGCCAAATTTTTTAACTTATTTTAATTGAGTATATATGGTTAATCGCTTTACTATCAAGTGAGAAACACAGTTATTTATGGCACAACCCAATTGAATCTACCCTCTACCAGAGATTTGTCCTCCAAAATCAAAGCTTTTGTACTTAAATAGTTGTGTCTAGCCTCTACTTCTAAAAGAAGCTTGAAAACAGGAACCATCAACAAAACAAGCCTGCAAAAAGTATAACAAAGCAAGTTACAGGTGTTTTTGTTTCATTCATTACAATTGTATTATTCAATGTCATAGTTTATTCATGAAATAAAACCCTTCCATTTTTAAATCTGAACTGCTGCAGAATCCAAGTACCCTACTGCAAGTTTTATTTTCAGTTCATCACAGAACACTACTCTACAGCAAAGCCCTATGTATCAAAATATTTAAGTGGATGCACCACTTGGTTTCCCTCTAGGTTTCAAGTTTTTGCTTGCTATGCTCTGAAGCTGACCAGGAGGAGGGAGAGCAGTGCCAGTAATATGGAGACTGACATTGATCTCAGAGGGTACATCTAGACTACATGCCTCTGGCGACAGAGACATGTAGATTAGACTACCAGGCATAGGAAAATGAAGCGGCGATTTAAATAATCGTCGCTTCATTTACATTTACATGGCTGCCGCGCTGAGCCGCTCAGCTGTTTGTCGGCTCAACGCGGTAGTCTGGATGCGCGGGGGTCGACATCAAAGGCATTTGTCGACCACCCAGGTATGCCTCCTGGGATGCCTCCTGGGATGAGGCATACCTGGGTGGTCGACAAATGCCTTTGATGTCGACCCCCGCGCATCCAGACTACCGCGTTGAGCCGGCAAACAGCTGATCGGCTCAGTGCGGCAGCCATGTAAATGTAAATGAAGCGACGATTATTTAAATCGCCGCTTCATTTTCCTATGCCTGGTAGTCTAATCTACATGCCTCTGTCGCCAGAGGCATGTAGTCTAGACATACGCAAAGTGAACTGTGCCTGATCGCAGTGCTGGTGAGCCCTAGGGGATCTGTGTTGCCGTGATGGGAAGCACAATTTCATTTCAGAAGATCATGAGCACGCCAATGTCACTCCAGAAGTCAGAGTGGCTTGCTTGTCCTCATAGGGAACCTTTGCTTTATCCTGCTGTCCTGCTAAGACGACGGAGGCCTCTACTCTCTGTGCACCAGGGAAGCCTACACAGGTGACAGCATCTATAGGAACTTGGGTCCCATACATCTCCCCTGAGTCAGTGGGACAAACCTTCCAAGGGGCTCAAAGTTCCAACCAAAGAGGTGCACACACACTGCTCCAGTGCAGCTGAACTAGGTCCCTTGCCCAAATGCACTTCAGCATTTTTGCCTGGTGCTGGGGAGCTGTACTTTCAAGTCTTCTTAGGCGCCAGGAATTGATGCCGATTCTTGGCAGGAGGGCTCAGATGCCAGGTGAAAGGCTAACTTCATGAGGAAAGTTTGCAGTTTGATATCCTGCTCCTTCTGAGTTTGTGGACATAGGTTCTGTCAAATGTGGCACTTCTTGATGGGTGATTCACCCAAGCACTTGAAACAACTGCCATGGGGATTGCTAACATGAATAGACCTGTTACACTCTGTGCAAGATTTGAACCCAGTGGACTGGGGCAAAGTCCCACTGGGGACTATTATCTAATGACAACTATTTAACTATAAACAATAAACTATTTACACAAAGCCCTAAGACTGAAAGCAATAAAAACCGCTTGCAAAGCCACAGAACTAGGTGCTCCAACTAACCACTAAGATGGTAAAAAGGAACTGAGAGGGCATAGGGCCGGCAGTACCAGATATAACATGATGGGAACATGGCACTCCACAGGACACCAGAGCTGACCTTAGGCATGCACACACCTACCTACAAGGGAATCAACATGAGCAAGCACAAAGCAGAGATGAACTATCAGTACAAACTTTCTACTTGTTAAACTGATCACTTGCAATTGTGACAGGCTGAAAGATCCCAGAGTGCTGTACCTGTAAGTTTCTTAAGGCATAAAGGGGAGTTAGATGACTTAACTTTCTACTGCCTTTCAATGGGATCTGTTTACTTTAATTCCCCTCTGTGACTCTGAAGAATCTTACTCACCAGTCATCTTCCTTATTTGCACAACACCGAGAGCTCTGAGCTCAATAAATATCCAGATATCACTTCACTCTAGGGTTGCCAACTTCATAATATTTTAAAAACCAACACTCCAGCTGGAGTCCTGGAACCTCACCCCACTCACTCCTCCTTGCTGAGGTCCTGCCCTGACCCAAAACCCCACCTCCCATTTGATTCTCTTCCCCCATCTCTGCCTACCTTGATTGGAAAGGACTCATTTACAGAGCTGAGGCTGGGAGGAGGGAAAGACCTGGCATCTCGCTTGCCCACAGGAACTAGACTTTGGGTGTCCAGTCAGTAGATCGACTGGATACTGACAGGTCCCCTTTTCAACTGGATTTTCTGGTAGAAATCAGGCACCTGGCAACCCTACTTCACTCAAATGAATTTCTGCAGTAGAACATAAGAACGGCCATGCAGGGTCAGACCAAAGGTCCATCTAAACCAGGATACTGTCTTCTGAAAGTAGCCAATGCCAGATGCCCCAGGGGGAGTGAGCAGAACAGGGAATCATCAAGTAATCACTCTTCTGTCATCCATTTCCAGTCTCTGACAAAAGCTAGGAACACCATTCCTACCCATCCTGGCTAACTGATGGACCTCACCTCCATGAATTTATCTAGTTGTTTCTTGAACCCTGTTCATGTCCTGGTCTTCACAACCTCCTCTGGCAAGGAGTTCTACAGGCTGACCATGTGATGTGTGAAGAAAAACTTCCTTTTTTATTTTAAACCTCCTGCCTATTAATTTCTTTGGTGACCCCTAGTTCTTATGTTATGGGAACAAGTAAATAACATTACCTTATTCTTTTCCACACCAGTCATGATTTTATATACCTCAATCATATCCCTCCTTTAATCACCTCTCTTCTAAAATGAAAAGTCCCAGTCTTTTTAATCTCTCTTCATATGAGACCCGTTCCAAACCCCTAATCATTTGTGTTGTCCTTTTCTGAACCTTTTCCAATGCCAATATATCTTTTTTGAGATGAGGCAACCACATCTGTATGCAGTATTCAAGATGTGGGCCTACCATGTTTTTATAGAGAGAGAATAAGCATGAATGCCATCTAGTCCTGGTGACTTGTTACTGTTAAATTTATCAATTTGTACCAAAACCTCCTCTAATGAAACCTCAATCTGAGACAATTCCTCAGATGTGTCACCTAAAAAGAATGGCTCAGGTTTGGGAACCTCCTTAATATCCTCAGCCGTGAAGACTGAAGCAAAGAATTCATTTAGTTTCTTCACAATGACCTTATCATTTCTGAGTGCTCCTTTGGCATCTCGATCATCCAAGGGCCCCACAAGTTGCTTAGCCGGCTTCCTGCTTCTGATGTACTTAAACATTTTGCTATTACTTTTTGAGTTTTTGGCTAGCTGTTCTTCAAACTCCTTTTTAGCTTTTCTTATTATATTTTTACACTTAGTTTGACAGTTTATGTTCCTATTTTTCTCACTAAGATTTAACTTTCACTTTTTAAATGATGCCTTTTTATCTCTTGCTGCCCCCAAACCTTCCTTTTACTTGGTTAAGCCAGGGAGGCACTTTTTTGTTTCTCTTACTGTGTTTTTTAATTTGGCGTATACATTTAAGTTGGGCCTCTATTACGGAATCTTTGAAAAGTTTCCAAGCAGCTTGCAGGGATTTTAATTTTGTTACTGTACATTACAGCTGGGCTGCTCTACCTAGAGTATGCAGCAATACCTTTGGCGAGATGTGAAGAATGAAATCCAACCATCTGAAGCTGTAAGGGATTATAGATAACTTAAAAACAACAGCCAAAATTGGAACTATACCAAATTTTTGCTGTACTGTAATCAGAATGTTTGGAGATGACTGTTTGGAGATGACTATTTTAGACTTCATTCAAAAAAGATTAACATCAAAATGACACTCACTCTCTTTTTATTACTTACTTAAGATAGAAGTCGATGATGACATCATTGAGGAATTCTCCATACTCTAAACACTCTAGATCTTCTCTTGTTACACCCAGTCCTCCTTTTGTAGGTGGGGGAGGATAAACTATCAAGCTAGAGCAAAAGTGATATTAAAACAAATTGAGCAATAGTTTAACTAGCCAATTACAAAAAAAAAATCCTAATGCCCATTATCTAGGAGAAAATCAGACTGAAAGGAACCTTGAGAGGTCATCAAGTCCAGTCCCCTGAAGTCATAGCGCTAGATCAACCACCAATCTTTATAGACTGTATTTTATGCTAGTTCAAGCAGACGTATTGACATGCTCCTAAGATATAAACAATTCTATATCTCTAGTTATCCTCAATCCCATCTCTTCACACAGCTACCATGAAGTTCCCACTTCATGAAGACCTGAAAAACCACCAGCTTTTCTTTACAGTTTGAGCAGATACATTAACCATTGTAGCTACAGATTCTCATATATATACATCCAAGATTTTTGAGATCAATACAAAGTATGCAACATTTGACAGTAAATTACAAAGAAGTTAAACTAATACATATCTTGAAAAGGAATGATGAAATAATAGGAACAGGAAACGTGATTAGAATGACCACATCCATGTAAATTTTCTAAAAACGAGAGCACTTTTTCTCATTCTATGTATTTTCACAGCGACTCTAAACACATATCAGTACTCAACTAACATTATAATGTGTGTGTAAAACTGAGTTTTTGCACTACTATGGTAATATTGCAAATAACGTAACACTGCAAAACCCAAGTCAATAATTCATTAAAATGACAAACTGACAGTTTCCAAAATTGGGGAGGAGGGCTGTAACTATCAGTAATCTGGTTTTGTATGCAACTAACGCCATATCTAAAAATCTTGTCTCTTATTTATCCTATGTAAAAACATATGTCAGGCAGACATGTGTCTCAGATTTCAGCAGCTTTCTATAAAAACTATTGACAGAGTGGCTTTCTAAACTCTTCACACCAGATGTACAATTTATGGGAAGTAACTTAGCATAGCTCTGAACCTGAAACATTTTGCCATTATTCTTTAAAAGAATAATAGTTAGAGGATCTGGATTTCTTCCAAATATGAACATGGCACACGGAGTCTAAGGAAGTTATTTTTAAATAAATATTCTGCCCCCACCCATTTTTTGACTATGTTAAGCAGATAGACGAGATTCTCAGAAGATGTAATCAGCACTAGTTTCATTTACACCATCATTTATACCATCATTTACACCATCATTTATGAAGGTTTATCTTTGCAGTTAACATTTGCAATGTAAAAACATCAAGGCCAATATTCATGCTAGCTGATTTGAACCGTGAATTGAGCATTTCCACTTCTAATCTCTCATACACAAAATAGCATTAAACTTTCAGCTAAAATGGATTTTAAGTAGGAATACATGGCCACGTTAAATGCTGGTGAACTATGGTTTTAAATTTAATTGGGATATTAGCACGAATCAGACGCTGAAAGCATGTGAATACAAAAGATGAAATCCATAAAAGAAGAGCAGATGTGTTAAGACTAATAGTGACCCTTTGAAATACCAGTGTTATTTTATTTAAGGCTTGGAATAAAGAAATCAAAATAAAAAATAAAATATTAACTTGGTACCATATGCTGCAAATCGAGTATGTAAGAAACACCTGCATGTGACCTTACCTAAGGTCCAATAATTGCCAGTGACATCACTTATTACCTAAGGGTACAAACAAACTCTTCAAGGTTCATTGATAATACCTGCCTGACCTAAGAGGACCTAACCATTATGGGTTAAGCACTCCGAGTTTAGCCCACGTTAAAGTATTTCAGTTAAACTCTTGTAAATGTTTTGTTACTGCTCGAATGTAATAAACTGCTTACTATTTAGGGTTTTTTAGGCATGTTTAAAGAAAATGTATAAATACTATTTGACCTTTGGATTTAATAACAATATTTATGGTTGAATTAGTGTCATAGCAATAATCTGCATAAATAATAATTTCAACAGTGTGTAAAACATAAAGCCTTAAACACAATTAACAAGACCTGCCATGTAGTATGAGAGCAGATTAGATATAGCAGGAGCTTGGTGCTAGTTATATTATATACATTGCTACATATTGTTGTAGAATTGCTGTATTAACTGACAAAAACAAGCTTGTGACAAATAATGTGGGTTAAGAAACAGAACTCAGAGAGCTAAATGGCACAAACATGACAGAAAGAAAAACACTTTACTGTGATGCAGAACATTATTTGGAGCCAAATCTTGGCTGCATTGAAATCATTGGGCGTTTTACTGGGAAAGGATTCAGCCCTTACTTCAAGTATTTTTTAATTTTTAGTGAGATGATCTTAACATTAATACATTGAGCTTAAGCCCCCTTTTTGCCCATTGACAATGAGAACTGAGACACTAAAGCAAAGTGCAGAGCTTAGAGTAGAAACATGTTCACATGAAACATAGCACCATTCACCCAAAAAACTGAAAGTAATTTACGAACATTAAGTCATTACTTTATTCTAGCTATTTACTTATGCAATTTACATCCATGTGCTTTTTCTTGCTCATTTAAATAAAGCATACATACTTCTGAACTGGTCCTGTTTCTTTTATTTCTTTCCATTCATCGTCTGATTTAGATGAGAGCGAAATGGAATAGCTACCACGATTTTGCTTCTGCAACAGAGCATAACTCGGCCTGGTGACATTTACTTTTGGTTCCTGATGGCAGAGAGAAAAAAATTCTAACCAAAAAAATCATCTTTATTCATAAGTGAACACACAGCAGACTGGAAGTAAAAAAAAAACCCATAAGTACATTTTGCAGTCTACAATAACTCTTCATTTAATATTCAATTCATCCATTATACCTTCATATTTTGTTCTTCTCCTTTTGCCAAAAACAGAATATAACACTAGCATGCAACATACGCATTTCAGTGATAAATGCACCTTTGAGCCAAAGCGCGCACGCACCAACGGCAGAAGTTGCCACCTATAAAGCAGCTTTCTCTTCAAAATGGTTTACAAACATTAGTCAGCCATGTGAGTTGGGCAGTACTATCCCCTCTTTTTTGAAAAGGTAACAGAAGCAAAAAAGATACGGCTAGAACAGTACTCCCAAACTTTTCAATGCCCAAGATCACTTTATTAATTTAAAAGCGACCCAAGATCTACCCTGCCCCTTACCTGAAGTGCTGCCCCTTCCCCAAAGCCCTGCACTGCCCACTTCATTCCCCCTCTCTTCACAGCTTGCTCCCCCACACACGCTTTAACCAGCCTAGGGCAGGGGCTGGAGTGCAGCCTCGGTGAGTGTGGGAGCAAGGTCAGTGCTAGGACAGTTGTGCAGGAGACATGGGGATGCCAACTTAGAGTGGGCTCAAAGCTGGGGTGCTGGCTATAGGAAGGGGCTGTACACTGGTGTACAGCCTCTCACCAGGTGGGCATGTGCCACCGGCAGTTCATGACTGATGGTGCAGCGAGGCTGGGGCAGGCTCCCTGCTGGTGTCCCGCACCACTCCAGAAGAGGGGACAATGTGGTTCTGTGGCCCCAGGGATGAGGGGCTTGAGGCATGTGCTGCCCCTTTTTCCCCAACAGCTCCTACTCACCACAGTTCCCTGTTTCTGGCCAACGGGAGCTTAAGGGGATTATGCTTGCAGGCAGGAGCAGTGTGCCAAGATTTCTACACTCCCCCCTCCACATGAGGCCACAAAGACATACTCTGTGTCCACTCCTGGGAATGGTCCAGTGGCATGGAGCAAGCGGGGAGCATACTGATCACAACACACTGGGAGACTCTCCAGGATCAAGCAGCCAATCACAATTACTGGCGACGACTGGGCTAAAATGTCAGCGGTGCTGAGTATCCCGCAGGCTTCAATGGGAGCAGCAGTCACTGGACCCATCAAGACTAAGTCACCAAAGGCTACCGAGCCATCACAAAAGCAAAGAGCAAAACAGATGAATTCTAGGCTTCTAGTTTTGTACTCAAACCAACCTACCCTTCCTTTATCACTATTGCTACTGTATAGAATGTGTCTATTAGGGAACTGACCAAGCCCCAAATGTCAAAAATTTCAACTTCAAAATTTTCCCTCAAAGAGATGCATATTAGGGCCAGACTCCCCAATAAATAGTGGCCTACAATGGCTTGCATACCTAGAAGCAGAAGGCAGGAATGGGATCTTTGTATTTACTTCTCTGAATGCAAGAACCATGATTCTGATTAGCTCTTGCATAGGTTTTGTATCACGGGAGAAAGCCCCTTGAATTCTCCTCCTCTGCACCCTAATGGGACAATCTATCAATTATGTAGACTGTAAATATTGCCTTATTATGAAGTATAAATTAACAAATGTTATCAATTCTTAAGTATGCATACAGATATTTTTATCTTCTGTGTGTAACTGAAAATGGCTTGATTTCTCTAATGGCACTAGGTGACTTCACTTCAATAAATCATTTGAGAATCATGTATATACCTGAGGTAGGGGGTCCATGAGAACTGGAATGCTGTCCTTCTGCAGCTGCTGCTGAAACGAAGCCTGGCAACAATTCATAAAGGAGCTTTCTTCAGGCGACAAGTCCTTAAACAAAGGTAATGCATGCTTCCAAGACAAGAAGTCAGACAGATCTGGTGACCTGTTTTTCCTGCTCACTTCCGCAATCACCTCATTCAGCTTAATCTGTTCTCTTTCCGTGAGCGGTTGGAAGAGTTCAAGGAAAATGAATTCATTAGATTTGGCTGTAAGAAGAAAAAACATTAACTGATCATTAACTGAGACTGACAAGACATGGCAGAAGTTAACAACAATTTCACAGAATATAACTGTCAGACCTGAGCACTCATTTGCTGAAACAAGTTAGTATTTACATTTCAAAAATTTTAAATTACCAAATACAGTAAAAACTGTTATTCAATCCTGTACTAACTGGAAAGCTCTATAAACTGGTATTTGTATTCTTCATATAAGATTATTGTGAGGTTGGCATGGCGCTGGCAGGCTCCCTATCTGGCTCTGTGTAACTTCCCAGAGGTGGTGACATGTTCCCTCCACCTAGGAGCAACAGGAATTGCCACAAGGAGTGCCAAGTGCAGGAGGGAGTGCGGGGGGCAGGCTCTGAAAGGAAGGTTAGGTATGTGATGGGTTTTGGGGTGCTGGATCCTGGAGACACTGACCTTGGGCAGCTCCCTGCAAGCAACAGCCAGTCCCTGCTTCTCCTAGGCAGAGGTGTGGCCTGGCAGCTCTATGCGCTGCTCCACCCACGGGCGCTATCTCTGCACTTTCTACCAGAGGCAGTTACCAGCTGATAGGAGCTGCAGAGTAAGTACTTGTGGCAGAGCAGGGGCAGCACATCTAGGAGCAAGCTTCAAAGGTCGCTTCTTGCAAGGAGCTGCCCAAAATGAGCACCCCTCAGATGCAGCACCCCACAACTCTCCTGCACCTAAACTCCCTCCCAGAGCCCATGAAACAAACTCCCTTCCTCACTTCAATTCTCTCCCTCTTAATTAAGCAGATTTTTTCCACTTACCAGCACCTCCCATTTCCCCAATATGCCAGATAAAAAAAGCTTTTACTGCAAATATACTTTAAATAGATACAAAACAGCCAAGCATAAAAAAAAATCTTAATAGTTCCTCCTTAAGGCTTCTTGTTAAATGATAATGCCTCACAATAATCCAGGCTGATATTCATAACTGCCTACTGGCTTCTTAAACTTACAATTACCATTAGTTTCAATGCATCTAAATTCCCTAAGCAATTTAGCCTTAATTTCTAAGTCTGGTCATCACTAATGCCTAGCTCAATGGAACCCATTCAGGGTATCATTAAGCAATTACAACCTGTACTTGAAGGGGACTGCATCCTAAAAGAAATCCTTCCCGAGTCCCCTTTTCTGGCCTTCAAACAATCCTCCACCCTTATCATAAGAATTAAGCATGCCGCCGAACAGATACACCAACTCCAAGTAGCACCAGACTATGCCAGAACAAGAAAAGCAAAACATGTAGGCATATCTACACAGAGACAACGATCCACATCCTCCACAACACATCTTTCAAGATCAGTGGGTCTTAAACACACCTATTACAACATATGGCATACACCTCATCCAGTGCACTAAATGTTCCAACAACACTTATGTGGGTGAAACCAGCCAATCTCTATGCTCTGAAATGAACTCACATAGGAAAATGATACAGACAAAAATACCATATCACCTGCTAGTTAGCAATCACTCTATATCTGAGACCTCTCAATCTTCAATCTCAAAGGAAACCTGCACACTACTTTCTGAAGAAGAACCTGAGAGCATAAGCTCACATTTGTGCTGGACAGTAAAAATCATGAACGGAAGGGAGACAATGGATTTATTGTTTATTACAACAATTTATCCCACTAACAATCTGTACCTACCCATGCTGCTTTTCTCCCCCTTTCCTTTCCCCCTTCCCATTACAGGATGAATGTTATCAAGGGATTCACCTTGAATGGCCCCTTCAAATATGCGTTAATGATTTACACTAAACAATCTGTTCCACCTTTTATTAGCTGTGAAACTGTGTTTCCTGGAAAAGCTCTGTGTAGCTAAAAAGCTGGTTTCTCATCGAGACATTGGTCCAGTGAAAGACACTACCTCACCCACCTTGTCCGTGTCTATACTGTGATTAAAAACCTGTCACTGGCTTGGGCCAACTGATTCTGGCTCAGAGTGCTTGGGCAGCAGAGCTGTTTTAACTGTAGTGTAGGCATCCAGAATTGGGCTGGAACCTGAACTCTGGGACACTTCCCCCTTGTAGGTCCAAGAAGTCCTCTGGGTACCTCTCTATACATCAACTACTATAGCAACACAATGGCACCGCTCCAGCTGCGCTGCTGTAGCACTTGAGTGAACGTCTCCCATCAGCGTAAGTAATACATCTCCCTAAGGTCAACAGGAAACTTCCAATGCTGTCAAGGGCAGTGGTTAGGTCAGTTTAAAAAATTCATCTCTCACAAGTATGGATCTCTCTCTCTCTCACACACACCCCCCCCCAAACCAGATAGCTAAACAGACCGAATTTCCTGATGGGGAGGCGTCACTCAGTCTCTAACTTTACAAAATTACTATTCCAAGCACAAAAGCTAATGCTTACTCTAAATTCTCTTTCTATGTAGAAGGAAAAACATTTATGGATTAGAAGTATTACCAAAATTCAGGGAACACTTACACTACAGTTTCAACAATGATCACACAGGAGCAGGGTAAATTTGATTTAAATCACTTGTCAGGAAGACTATTTAGTCATGGTTTTCTACATAAGAGTGCATTTTTGTTGATGGTCATAACTTTAATCCATATTCTTCACAACTCAAAGATAGATAGAGGTTTCATTTTTAGAAGGTACACACTATACATTTTTAAACAGTGATTTATTTTGAAAAAACTTTTCACATTAGTTAAGCAACTACATCAGAAAGTGAATGATTGTTTGGTTATTTCATTTACCAAAGATAACTGAAGCAGATATTTATGAAGTAACGGGAAGGTGAACTATCTCCAAATCAACGGGTTAATCATTAATATTTGGAGGATCTTCTTGCTATGCCTTAGTAAGAGGAGAACATCACCATTCAGACATTTAAATTGCTTTAACTAAAACAACATAGTTATGTATTCTGGATTTTTTTTCTTCAACAGCAAACAAAATATATTAACAAAACAAGCATCTGAATTTTTGGGGAGAATCCAAACATTCACGTTTTTTAAAATCAAGTTTGTTTTTATTAAAATTGTTTTTAACTAAATAGCTATATGACTTTTTAAAAAAACAAAAATTAAATTGATGTGTCAGCCAGGTCAACGTAAGAAATTTAAAGTATTAACTTGTATTCATTGAACTGACTGAAACTGCACTTTTAGAGAGAGGTAAGGGCTTGACTCTGTGTACACAAATATGCAGAAGGTCAATAGGGCTGTAGTCTGTTATTTCTCATCTTTACATATTATTCATTTATTTATAAACATTTTTGCTGTTAACAAGCATGTTCTCTCTGGAGACACAAATTCATAGTATGAGGACTGAAAAACTAGGCATTTCTAACGGGTATCTCCTAAACTAAGCATTGAGTCCCACTGGGTAGATAAAAAGATTAACCTAAACAATCTATACTGATGCCTCTGCAACCCCATAACTTTGGATCCCTAATCCAAGTACTATTGGAACTCATTTAAAAGACTTCTAAACATTACAAGAATTAGAATTTATAATTCCTATTCCATGATAAGGTATCTTTGAGCTGTGACGTATCTTAATTAAAATGGTCTTTATATATGTTTGTCCATCACAAAGCATTTTATCCACAAAAAAAGGGAGGGGGGATTTCTTTTAAAAACATTGATTTTTATCCACCCTGGTCAGTAGCTTGTTGTTTATGAGTCAAAATATTGTGGATTTGGACCAGACTTGAAAGATTCGCTGTGTCACTTCAGCTATTGACTTTTACCCTATTTCCTTTCTTGTAGCGAAGAGCGATATGGTTCATCATCTCCAAGGCAGGAGTTGATAAATGAAACAAATTATTCTCTCATTCCTGCATTATAAGCTCTCTGAATATATGAAGGAGAATTATATTCCCACATTACCTCTTACATAGCATTATAGAGGTGTTCTATAACAAAGACAATCCCAGCCCAAAAGATCATTTAAACTAGTGAAGTCATCTATGTGCATTTGACCTCGTCAGATTTTTCTCTTTTTGTCCAGCAAGATTGCACCACAGTGTTACATCATCATTAGAAGAATCAATATAGCTCCCGCTATCTTCCAAGATATTCTTCTTACACATTCACCACCAGAAGACAGAATCCCTAGAGAACACCATACCTACTCTTACAGAGATACTTATGATAGTCAGCATGACTCAAAGCCATCTGTGATGGAGCAGAGAAACCTCCAGCAGAAAAGGGATTAAAAAGAGAGTTTATGGGTCCAACTAGCCCTGCCCTGCTATACCTACAGCGAACGACAGGCCTGGAGCAGGAAGGAGACACACACTCGGTCTCAGTTTAGAGCTGACCAGCAAAGAGAGGCAGGAGGTAGCTCTACCTCTCTACATGAGGGGTGATTCAATACAAGCTTAGCAAGCGCAACAATCATTGGGAGAGAAACCACATGTCCCTGAGCAAGAAAGAATGTTGAAAAGACTGGGGAGCATCCAGCAGTGAGTGAAATGTGATAATTTGACTGTAAAAGACACTGAAGAGCTGGGACATTCCAGCCTTACGTCTTCACCCAGACAGAGGAGCCTGAGTTTGTGGCATGATGCCACAAAAGTTCCACTAAGGGGTGATACTATAGATGAACCACAGCAAATTATTTGGACTACTGGAGCAAGTCCCAAACTGAAGGGACATAAGTAAGAAGTATCTTAGAACAGCAGACTTGGACCCTGCCAAAGTTGCTTTACATACAGCCCAAGACCCCCTACTACACTCCCTTACAAGCTGAGACCCAGATGCAAGTGGAGGTCAGACATTTTGCAGCCTAAAATGAGAACCAGGCACTTCTGCTGCCTGCTCAGAGAGCAAAGGGACCAGAAGAAGTTGGATTGCTAACCAGTTGGTTGTTAGGCATTCTGAGCACACTATCACACCATCCATATGCAGAATACAATGTTGCACAGTTCAAAGATTTATTTCTGTATTTTTACATGATTTTTCACTAATTCCAATGAGCTTGGTCTATCCCATTAATTTGTTGAAAATTTCCATTATGTTTACTTCCCCCCTTTTAAGGAAAGCTAACTAAACAAAATTTTGAGAAAGCAAAACTGACTATTTTTTCCCTTTAAATAGTTAATCATCTCCTGTTTCTCAGACATTTAAATCTGAAATAGCCACCTGATTGCTTATACATAGCAATTTTTTTCATCATGTTTTCAAGGGGCCAGTTAACCCCATCATACTCACATGGTTTGCTTAAAACTGACTTTTCTAATTGGGCTTCGATCTTTTTTACGTAGTCTGCAGACAGCCAAAGGAAAATGAAAGTGTTACTCCTTGAAGAGTGACAGTCTTCATTACTCCTCCACAGGCCAAACTTTCTTAGGTGTACAGTATCCACTGACAACTCTATATTCTTATTAAGAGCCACTGTAGGAAACAGGATTTCAGAGAAGCAGATCTTACCATGGAGATACATGCACAAATACATTACATATTAAAATGTACAAAACAGAAGTCAAGTGCCATCGTATCAAACTTGTGCAGCATGAGTAGTATGTGAAGACACCTACTTTTCCAAGACCTGCACCCTAAACAGAAGGTTACAGAGATTACAAAGGTTACACAAAGTTAATACAAAGGCACAAATATAGAAAAGTGAGATTGTTTATAGAAGTTCTAACATTTTCCCTAAAAAAAGGTCTAGTTATATTAATTCTCTAGCTATTACATTTCAATTCCATTGTATCAGAAACTCCATTCTCCTATTTTCAGTCATTGTATCTGTCAATTAAGAATGGCACAGTAACATATCCTACAAACAATTATTATACCTGCCACATCATAACACTCTGAACAATCGACTTAACATTAAAATACTGGTTTATACTATTCTATCTTTAGTTGATTAAATAATTTCCTTTAACTTAATATGTAACATTTCTCGGGCTGCAAAAAGTTTGCCTCTGCTTAACTTCGTACCATTTACTTGAATGAATCTACTTGCGTTTAAAATTAAGCATATGCTGCTTAAGTCTCTGAAAGATCAAGACTCAAGACAGAATGATGATGGACACGTTATAAATATCACAGATGTTACTGAAATAGTTGAAAGCTACTAAGCTATTATTTACTGTATCATAAAAACTCTCTCACTTTGGTATAAATGTTATATTACAAATAATGAAAGAGGGAAAGTGCTTGGCAGAATAGGAAGTTATTCAAAATGTTTTCACAGAAATGTGTTAGTATTTTGCACATGGTTTTGTTAAGAGGAGACCATGACACAATACAGTATCTTACCTTCAAATGGGATATTAATATATCTTGTAGTAAACTAAAAAGAAAAAAGAAAACAAAAAATAGTTTATTTTTCAACATTTTTCCTTACAATTAAAATATTTTTATTTCTGTACATTCCTCTTTCTGCTTAGCTGAATAAGCTAAAAGAATAAATGTTTGATTTAAGAATATTTAAGAACTTCTTGTCAAAAACATTTTGCCTAGTGTCTAGGATTAGTCTGAGGGGCAGTCTAGGGTTAGACTCTGAAAACCGTACTAAGGAATCTAAACACCAGTAAACCCATATTCAGATATCTCAGCATCTCAAATCTCTATGGAGTAAATGGTAGCAAGCAAGGTGGCCAACACTCCTAAGAACCTGGTCACTTTTAAGTACATGCCTAAATATGAATATTGGAGCATAATCCTAGCACTAAAACATAACGTTTTTTGTAGTTGTCTTATACAAGTAATTTTAGAACTTTTGTATTACCAATCACATGGTGATACAGTTCTGCAAGTTACACATCTTAAGACTTTTTCCCCCTAAATCTACTCAGAATATGTAGAAGCTCGATAGATTGCCATACTGTAATGTATTGTAGAAGTCTAATGAAATAAAGCCTTGCCACAAAAATCTGAACCATAATTTGTGACTTTCCCTAGAAACAGTATACATAGCCAGAATTTAACATTTGTATCTTAACAGTTTAATTCTTAGCATTTAGATTGGGAAGGAAAAGAAAACTGAGGGGTAAGTTTATAGGATAAGAGTATTATTATTTCAACAAGATTTTTTTAATCTGCTTCATAGGGCACTTTAGCAATGGGAACAGATGAAATTATTACTAAGGAATGCCCTGCATTTATAACTGGAATTGAAAACTGAGATGTTTTTAAAATTGCAGTATATACACTGAATCTGGTCTTGGAGTTGCAGAAATCCAACTATCTTGTAACATGCCTGGGGTATGGATTAATCTGTTTCTTGGTTTATACTTTCTATAACATTATAACCCTTTCTCTCGCTCTATTAAGATGTGGGTGCTGTTTTAATGCTCTGTGCTTTGAAACTACCTTTTAAAGAGATGCACTCTATATCTTAAGTTTTAGAGCACATGGTCTATCTGGGATACAAACATTAAGAGTTCATGTGTTGTAAGATCTGCAGTATTCCAGGAAAACACGATCGCTTTTGGTTTCAATAGACACTATGGCTACATCTACACTGCCGGTTTTGCAGGCAGAGTATGCAAATGAGATCAGTGCAGATTAGCATATTGCTGCACCTCATTTGCATAATTTATGTACACCATTTTTGCTGAAAAAAAGAAGGTTGGACTTTTTGTTTTTGTGCAAAAACCCTGTTTTCCGCAAGGTTCTTATGCCTTTCCACACTACTATTTTTTTGGCGCAAAAATGGTGTGAATAAATTATGCAAATGGGGTATGGTGATATGCTAATCTATGCCTCATTTGCATAGTCACTGCTGGCAAAACTGGCAGTGTAGACAAAACCTATGTGTGACCAGGTCAGTTTTTGCTTTCCTGCTATGATTTTAAAAAACTGTCTCAGCCTGATTTGTAATAGAATGCAAGTACTTTGTCTATTCATATGCGTCTTGCTGTCTGAAAACTTCAGAGCATGGATTCCTTGGAAAACATTAATAGTGCTCCAGTTCATTGAATGGAACACATCAGTACAACAGATAGGAAGCAATAAGTTAAACGGATATCTCTTGATCAAAACCACTGGTTGGAGAGAAAGGTAGGTCTAATTTCAGAATTACCAGTCATCTTTATGGATCTTTCATCCTCTGAAGTCCATTCATAATATGCAGAACTTGACAGGTTTTATTTTTAAAGCCAAAGACTCATTACAGTAATAAGATGACAACTTACCGTAACATAACCTGTTGATGTTCCTTTTATATTTCCTATATACAGTGTAGCAAGCTTAATATCTAATGCTGGCCCTATCTGTTTACTGCATGCGTCACAGGAAGGTAAGTCTGTGGAAGAGTCATCTTCAAGTGGTACAGCTGGAACCTATACAATAAGAAATATTTTAATATAATGCTTGAAATGTGTTCTTAGCCCTAACCTCAAGGTATTTTCCCCCTGCAGATGAGAGAGTTGTTTATACGAGTTATGTATCTTGTAATAAGGAAAAGCTGTATGGAAAAATAAGTTATTATAAGGAACCAGTTCTGGAGTTTATGTTCTCAATGGGTGAGAGGCAGCTTACTCTTCCTAGTTTGTGCCACTTTGTCAATATGTAGTAGTGCTCTTTCAACGCCATCTCTTTATAAACTAATCTAACCCAAAATAAGACCCGTAAATCACAGTAATAGCTAATATCCCTTTTTCCACATCAAACCCACAGAATCCATCTTAAGGCCGACATTCAAGACATGATGCAATTAGGGCACTTGCACAATTTAAAAAATCAATCACTATTAATTGCACTATTAAACAACAGAATACCATTAATTTAATTTTTGATATCTTCTACATTTTCAAATATATTGATTTCTAATAAAATACAGATTAAAGTGTAAAGTGATCACTTTATTTTTATTACAAATATTTGCACTATAAAAATGCGAAATATTTTCAATTCACCTAATGTAAGTACTGCAGTGCAATCTCTTTATCATGAAAGAACCATGTACAAACATTTGAGTGCAATGTAAAACAAAGCCCACAAGTCCACTTGTTCCTACTTTTTCGTTCAGCCAATTGCTCATACAACTGTGTTTACATTTCCAGGGTACAACTCTGCCTGGTTCTTGATTACAGTGTTTACACCAGAAAGGGAGAACAAGAATTTGTGTGGCACTGTTGTAGCTAGGGACTAGGGATGCAATGCTTACCAGTTATAGTTAACCAGCAGCCACATGGGCAGGGGACTGCTCCACTCTGACTGAGCTGGACCTCTTGTGCCGCATGCGGGGGGCACTCTAGTCCTACCAGACTGGAGCAGCTCTCTGCCCACCCACGGTGTGGCATGGTAGGCATGGCTGGGCTGGATCACCCCCTGGCTGCAGTGGGGGCGGGAGGGGCCCAGTCCAGCCAGCCCACCATGCCATGCCACAGGTGGGGGGGGCACTCTAGCCCAGCTGGAGCTGTCCCTACCCCCACCTGTCCCCATTTAAGCAGTTAACCGGTTAAACATTATGTTACAGGTTACCTCATTACATGGGATTTTACATCCTTACTGGGGACACAAGATATTTACATATCAGATGTGTTAAGATTCACGTGTCCCTTCATGCTTCAACCTGCATTCCAGAGGACATGCATCCATGCTGATGATGGGTTCGGTTAGATAACAATCCAAAGCAGGGCACTCTGATGTGTGTTTATTTTCATCATCTGAGTCAGATGCCACCAGAGTGAAAATGATTCTCTTTTTTGGTGCTGTAGTTTCCATATTGGAGTGTTGCTTTTTAGATTTCAAATAGCATGCTCCACACCTCAACCCCCTCAGATTTTGGAGGATTGGGCCACTAGAAATCTCATGAGATTCAACAAAGACAAGTGTAGAGTCCTGCACTTGGGACGGAAGAATCCCAAGCATAGTTACAGGCTGGGGACCAACCAGTTAAGTAGTAGTTCTGCAGAAAAGGACCTGGGGATTACAGTAGATGAGAAGCTAGATATGAGTCAACAGTGTGCCCTTGTAGCCAAGAAGACTAATGGCATATTAGGATGCATTAAGAGAAGCATTGCCAGCAGATCCAGAGATGTCATTATTCCCCTTTATTCGGCTTTGGTGAGGCCACATCTGGAATATTGTGTCCAGTTCTGGGCCCCCCACTACAAAAAGGATGTGGAAGCATTGGAGAAGGTCCAGCGGAGGGCAACCAAAATGATTAGGGGGCTGGAGCATATGACCTACAAGGAGAGGCTGAGGGACTTGGGTCTGTTTAGTCTTCAGAAGTGAAGAGTGAGGGGGGATTTGATCGCAGCCTTCAACTTCCTGAAGGGAGGTTCCAAAGAGGATGGAGAGAGGCTGTTCTCAGTAGTGACAGATGGCAGAACGAGGAGCAATGGTCTCAAGTTGTGGGGGGGGAGGTCCAGATTGGATATTAGGAAAAACTATTTTACTAGAAGGGTAGTGAAGCATTGGAATGGGTTACCTAGGGAAGTAGTGGAGTCTCCATCCCTAGAGGTATTTAAGTCTCGGCTTGACATAGCCCTGGCCGGGTTGATTTAGATGGGATTGGTCCTGCCTAGAGCGGGGGGCTGGACTTGATGACCTTCTGGGGTCTCTTCCAGTTCTATGATTATATGATAAGGGGATGGTTGGATGAAATAACATGATCTTGGTAACTAATTGACCATTCATTATCAGTTGGAAATAGGTCAATGGAGGGATGATAGGAGTTGCTATAGGGAACTTTCTGGGTGTCTGGCTGGTGAGTCTTGCCCACATGCTCAGGGTTTAACTGATCGCCATATTTGGGGTCGGGAAAGAATTTTCCTCCAGGGTAGATTGGCAGAGGCCCTGGAGGTTTTTCGCCTTCCTCTGTAGCATTGGGCACAGATCACAGCTGAAGGACTCTCTGCATGTTGGGTCCTTCAAAGTATTTGAATGCTTCAATATCTTTGATATAGGTGAGAGGATTATTCTAAGAGGGGTGGTTGAGATTCTGTGGCCTGCACTGTGCAGGGGGTCAGATTAGATGATCATAATGGTCCCTTCTGACCTTAAAGTCTATGAATCTTAAACCTGGGGTAAAGTGCTGAAGTTTTCTTTGAGACAGAATACAGGTAAAACAGAGCAGGAGGCATACAGTCACAAATTTAATTAACACTTTGTATTTTTTAATGCGCATCATCAGCATGGAACCATGTTCTCTGGAATGGGGGCCGAAGGGGACATATGAAAGTTTAGCATATCTGTCATGTAAATACCTTGCAATGCTGGCTACAAAAATGCCATACGAAGAGGAAGTTACCTTGGTGCAGTAACGACAGTTCTTCGAGAAGTGTGTCTCCATGGGTGCTCCACTGTTGGTGTTGGGTCGTTCCGGTGCTGCAAATCTGAGTTTTCATGAGCAGCAGTCAGTTGGACCGCATGTGTCTTTTGATGTCTTTCATGGTCTGGCTCCCTCCAGTTCCTCAAGTGCACCCCAGTATCTGTAAAATATAGTTAAGAGACTCCAAAGCTGGGAGGACGACGGGTAGTGGAGTACCCACAGGGACACACATCTCGAAGAACCATTGTTACTGCACCAAGGTGAGTAACTTCCTCCTCTTCGAGTGACGTCACAGTGGGTTTTCCACTGATGGTGACTGTGTAGCAGCAGTACCCGAGTATAAGACAGGTAACAGAGTCACTGATTACTCACAGTCGAGAGCACTGCAGACGCAACCGCAGAGTCAGCAGATCACTTATGAGAAAATGCATAATGTTTCATAAAGGTATTGTTGGTGGACCATGTGGCCGCTCAACAAATATCTTTAAGATGAACTCCATGAAGGAAGGCTGTAGAGGTTGCCAAAGCTCTCGTAGAATAAGTTCTCAGTTTCTTTGGCAGTGGTGTATACCGTATAGCATAGCACTTTTTAATGCAAGTAACAATAATGTTTGAGATTTGTTGTGATGAAAGGAATTAGCCTCTACAGCATTCTGCTACTGAAATTATTAGGCTGTTTTGGAAAGGTTCGAATTGTCTAAACAGAAGGCAAGTGATCTACGCAAGTCTAGGGAATGAAGCAGGCCCTTTCGACCTCTCACATGTGGCTTGGAATAGAAAGGTGGAAGTACAATTGGCTCGTTTATATGGAAATCTGAGCAAGCCTTTCAGATAAAGGATGGGTGTGGATGCAGTGTGATTTTGTCCTTGATGAAGATGGTGTTTGGTGGCACTGCCATTAGGGCTGCTATTTCTCCAACTCTGCGGGCAGAGGTGATAGCTAGTAGAAATGTAACTGAGTATCATCATTGTAAGTGGAGCAGTTGCCATTGGCTTGAAGGGAGCACAAGTAAGAGTGTCAAGAACCAGCCCTGAGTTCCACACAGGTTGTGGTAGTCTACCTGGAAAATATAGATTGGAGAGGCCTTTGAGGAACCTCCTGGTGGTACGATGGGCAAACACAGAAGAAACATCAACTGAGCTGTGGAACGCAGTGATTGCTGCTAGATGTACTTTCAAGGATGGTAGGGCTAACCCTGTTTCTTTTCATTGAAGGATATAGTCTAAAATGAGGTGTAAAGGTGCCGTATGTGGATCCAGTTTCTTAGCAGTGCACCAAGATAGGAATCTGCACCACTTTTGAAGGTAAGTACATCAAGTGGTTTGTTTCCTACTATGCAATACAATCTCTCTCACTTTGCCCGAACAGTGGAGTTCATCTTCTTGGAACCAACAATGAGCCAGGCTGTCAACTGCAGCGTATGGGGTTGAGGATGAATTAAGAGTCCCGTTGTTCTGGGTTAGGAGATTGGGATATATGGGAAGGTGATAAAGTGGTTGAGGAGACATCTGAAGATAGGGAAACCACGTTTGTTGTGCCCATAATGGGGTTATGAGAATCACTGTTGCACCCTGTCTGTTGATTTTCTCAAGAACTCTTGGTATGAGTGGTGTGGGACAAAAGGCATATAGGAGAGGGCCCCTCCAATGGAGAAGAAAGGCATCCCCTAGAGATCCATGTCCTATGCTGGCTCTGGAACAGTATTGCTGGCATTTTGTATTCTCGTGTGAGGCGAAGAGGTCTATCTGTGGATGACCCCCAGTGACTGCAAATGGGCTGGAAAATGTGCCAGTGAAGCTCTTATACGTGGTCTGGGGCAAAATGTCTGCTGAAGGAATCTGCTAACTCACTGTTAACCCCCGGTAAGTAGGAGGCTGTCAGTGTAACTGCATTGCGGATGCAACAGTTCCATAACCGGATTGCCTTGGCGCACAAGGAGTGAGAACGAACACCACCCTGTCGATTTATGTAATACATTGTGGAGACATTGTCGGTAAGTATCTTCACTGTGGTTCCTCGGATGTGCGGCAGAAAATGCCTGAATGCATTTGCAACTGCCCTAAGTTCCAATAAGTTGATGTGCAAAGTAGGTTCCTTGGTCATCCATAGACCTTGGATGGACATGTCTCCCATATGAGATCCTTATCCTATGAGGGAGGCATCAGTAGTAGGTAGGGTGTGTGGTAGGTTGATCCCAAATGAAATGAGATTCCTGCAAGTAAGTTGTGTTGCTCAGTCCATCACTTCAGAGATGCTATAATGTTGGTAGGTACGGACACTTGTCTGAGTACATCTCGCTTCCAGTGGGTGTAAACGGAAGCAAGCCAGAGTTGAAGACAGCGAAAGTGAAAACTTGTATGAGCAACCACGTAAGTTATAGCTGCCATATGACCCATGAGCTGAAGACAGGGTAAGTATTGTGATAGAAATGTAGCCGTGTTAGTCTGGGGTAGGTGAAGCAAAATGCAGGACAATGTAGCACTTTAAAGACTAACAAGATGGTTTATTAGATGATGAGCTTTCGTGGGCCAGACCCACTTCCTCAAATCAAATAGTGGAAGTGGTAAGTATTGACGCTCTAGGGCTGTTTGTGAGAGTAAATATGAGGTCTTGGATTGCTCAGAATCATCGCTGTGGTAGGTACACTCTTGCCATGGTGGAGTCCAGGTGGGCTCCAATGAACTCTAAGGTTTGTGTAGGTAGAAGCTACAAAAAGGTCCCTGACTAGGAAAGGGAACGGTGGGGAGTAGTGCTACAAAGGGCATGGTGTAGTCTGATGACACCATCTCTTGGACCCAGCAATCTGATGTGATGGCAGTCCAGCAGTGGTAAAATGGCCTCAGCTGATGATGGAAGGTTGGGGTAGATTGATTGTGGAGACTCAGTAAGGGGAGGTCTTGCAAGTCCTCGACCTGGAATTCAAGCCTGCTGTTTGCTTGTCTGCTGGCCCTAGTTACAGTTGTTCTGAGGTTGTTGCCTCAGTCTGGGTTGATCAGACCCCTGTTGTTGGTATCTAGGGTATGAGAAGTCTGAGTTCCACTGGTATGGCACATATTGCCTATATCGGCACGGTGGGCTGTACACACCCAAGGTACGAATGGTGTTTTTTGAATCCTTGCTGGAATGTAAGACCTCGTCTGTCTTCCCTGAAAATAATTTTTCTTTATCAAAGAGGAGGTCTTTCACTTTTGTTTGCAGTTCCCGAGGAACTGCAGGGGTCTGAAGCCAGAAGGGCCACAGAGGCTGCCGTGGCCCCAGCTGCTGTGTCGGCTATATCCAAGGCTATCTGGTGAGAGGTTCTTGACGAAGCATACCCTTCTTGCACAAATGAATTCAGTATAGCTCTTTGAGTCAAGTAAACGCTCAATAAAGGAAGTAAGTTTAATATAGTTATCGAAATTATGGTTAGAAAGCAATGCCACATAATTAGCCATTCTAAGGAGAAGGGTTGATGACAAGTACATCTTATGGCCAAAGATGTCAAGGCACTTGCTCTCCTTATCCACAGAATTATTCTTGTATTGCATGAGTTTTGATCTCAACTGTGCTGCATCCACCACTAAAGAATTAGGCTGCAGGTGGGGAAAAAAAAAAAGAAATTCTGCGCCTTTGGGCAGGACAAAGTACTTTTTATCCACCCGCTTGTTATTTGGGGTTTTGGTGCCGGAGTCTGCCAAGTCTTGTCAGCAGCCTCCATAATAGCCTCTCTATAGGATAGCTATATTTGCGTGCTGAGATGGTTGGAGATTTTTAAGGAGTCTGTGCTGTTTCTCTTGGCTAGTAGCCACTCTATTAAAAAGGTCCTGAGACTGTTTCAGGTCGTCAACTGGTGATTGGTCACTGGGAATAACAGCCTCATCAGGAGATGAGGATGACTGATCTGCTGGTGAGACATCAGGCTGCTGCTACTCTGTCTCAGAAATCTGCCCCTCCTTGGGCTCAGAGTGCTGGTGTATTGGTTTGGGGTTCAAAGAGGACGTTGTAGGCTCCGGTCCATGCAGTGCGGGAGAAGGTGAATAACTGCATGTATACAGTTGTTCCAAGCAGCAGGATGGATATTGATATCGTGGCGACCAATGAGAGGAGTAGTCATAGCAATATGAATGTCTGTGTTGTCAGTATTCCCATCTGTTGGGAGAGTGGTACTGTGGTGATCAGACTCTCAATCCGCGTTCATGATGGTATATATGAGGAGAAAGAGTTGGAGAGTGAAATGATCTGAGAGAACCCCTTGAGGATGGAGGGACAAGGAACTGTATCTCTGGTACGGTTGTTGTGGCATAGGAGAGAGATTGCTTGTTGGTCTGTAATGCACCTAAGACTGGATTTTGGCATCAACAGTGAATGTAGTGAAGGTGACAATGAGGATAGATCAGGTGAAAAAGTAAGCAGCTCCAGGCTAGGATCCCGTGTTCTGTGGGATGAAGAAGTTATTCACCTTCATGCAGTAACGATGGTTCTTCAAGGTGTGTCCCTGTAGGTGCGCCATGTCTGGTGTCGGGCTCGCCCCGGTGCCATGAATCGGAGGCTTCCCAAAGCTGTGTTCGGACGGACCGTGCGTGCGCGAGCGCTCAAGGCCGTTTGCACCTTTCCTCTCTGAGATCGGTCCGGCCCCCGCCTCAGTTCCTCTCACCGCCTCATCTGAAACGAGAGAAACAGACGAGATTCTTTAGCAGGGAGGAGGGCGGGTCGTGGAGCACCCACGGGGACACACCTTGAAGAACCATCATTACTACATGAAGGTGAGTAACTTCTTCTTCTTCAGGTAGTACCCGTGGGTGCTCCACATGTGGTGACTCCAGAGCAGTGGTCCGAGCTAAGGTTGCGCTATGGAATCCGTGTTGCGGCAGCGTTGGAGTACTGCTGAGGCTACAGCGGAGTCTGAGGTGGAGTGTTGCAGAATTGCGTAATGTTTCATGAAAGTGACATTTGACGACCAAGTAGCTGCCCGGCAGATGTCACGCATAGGGACTCCTTTCAGGAAGGCCATCGAGGTAGCTACTGCACAGGTGGAGTGTGCTCTAGGTTGTGATGGGAGCGACTTGTTACACAAATAACAGGTGGTAATGCAAGCGACAATCAACTTCGAAATGTGCTGCGTAGAGAGTGGACGACATCTAAATTGGTTTGCAACGGATATAAAAAGATGGTCTGTCTTTCAGATATCACGAGTTCTATCAATATAAAATGCGAGGGCTCGGCGAGCGTCCAGCGTATGCAAAAGAGCCTCTTAAGGAGAAGTATGAGGTTTAGGACAGAAAGAAGGCAAGACAATTTAATGTGGAAGTCCGAGCAGACTTTTGGCAGAAAGGCTGGGTGCGACCTCAATATCACTGAGTTCTTATTAAAGATTGTATATGGGGGAGATGCCATAAGGGCTGCAATCTCACTCACCCTGCGTGCCGATGTTATAGCAATAAGAAAAAGAACCTTGGTCATAAGTAGTTGGAGAGACGTAGTAGTGAATGGCTCAAATGATGGCCGTGTCAACGCATCTAGCACGAGGTCGAGATTCCACGCAGGAGGTGGAGGTCTACGTGGAGGGTTGAGATTAACGAGGCTCTTGAGAAACCTCTTCGTAATGGGGTGAGCAAAAACCGACCAGCCATCGATTGGGCGGTGGAATGCCGTGATCGCTGCTAGATTAACTTTAAGTGATGGCATGGAGATACCTGACGTGTGCAGGTGCAAAACATAATCCAGGACAGCATGCAACGGTGAGGCGGAGGGGTTTAACCTTTTAGAGTCACACCATTGCATAAACCGAGACCACTTCGCGAGATATGTTTTCCTCGTGGAATCTTTTCTACTATTGAGCAGAACACGCCTCTCTTGATGTGAGCAAAGGGTCTCCGACGTGTTGAACCATCTAACATCTACACAGTCAGCTGGAGGGTGAGTAATTTCGGACGGTGAAGGGACCCGTTCTGCTGTGTTAAGAGGTCCGGGAGAAGAGGGAGCCGGTAAGGCGTTCGAATTGACAGCTGTAGGAGCATAGAGTACCAGACCTGCCGGGGCCAGGCCAGTGCTATTAGCAAGATTTGGGCTCTGTCCAGGACAATTTTCTCCAGTACTATTGGAATTAGAGCCACAGGGGGAAACGCATACAGTAGTATCATACCCCAATGCAAAAGGAACGCGTCCCCCAGGGAGTGGGTGGCAATCCCTGCTCTGGAACAATAAACCTTGCATTTCGCGTTGGCAGAAGTAGCGAAGAGATCTATGGCAGGTCGACCCCAGCAGTGGAAGATAGATAGGAGTACGGCCGTGCGGATCTCCCATTCGTGGTCGTGTGGGAAGTATCTGCTCAGGGAGTCCGCGAAGGAATTGCTCACTCCTGGCAGGTACGACACTACGATAGTAATGTCGTTGCGGTTGCACCAGGACCACAGGCGAACTGCCTCTGCACAGAGGGAGCGGGATCTGGCACCGCCCTCCCTGTTGACATAGTACTTTGCAGCGATGTTGTCCGTAAAGACCCTAGTGACCGCGCCTTGTATGTGAGGTTTGAAGTGCCTGCAGGCGTGAAAAATTGCCCTGAGCTCCAGTAAGTTGATGCGGAGCATCATTTCTGTATCGGACCATCGACCCTGGATAGTATACATGCCCATGTGCGCACCCCAGCCAGTAAGTGAGGCATCTGTTATCTGCCTCGAAGGCTGAGGTTGGTGAAAGGGAATGCCCACCAACATGTTGGATTTCAAACATGGATAGGCAACGCCACACGCTTTTGGATGCTGTGTTTGGTGGGTACACCAAGGTCAGCCACTGTTAGAGACATCAGAAATGTAATCGTGCGTGACGGACCACCATCATGGTGGCTGCCATATGACCCAACAACTGAAGGTGAGTACGTATGGGGAGTGTCGGAGAGAGCGATACTGTGTGAACTAGATCGCATATGACTTGGAAGCGGTCTTCAGATAAGTAGACTCAAGCTGACCGTGAGTCGAGGCGAGCTCCTATAAATTTGAGAGTCTGGGTTGGCTCTAGATGTGATTTTTCTGTATTTACAATTAAGCCGAGGGAGCTGAAGAGATTTCTTGTTACTGTGAGCATGTTGAGAGCTTCTGACTGAGTGCAGCCTTTGAGTAAGCATTCGTCTAGGTAGGGGAAGATGGAGACCCCTATTTTGCAAAGCTGTGCAGGAACTACTGCCAGGGTTTTGGAGAAAGCTCTGGGAGCCGAGCTGAGGCCAAAAGGCAGCACTCTGTTTTGATAGTGCTCCTGCCCGACTATGAAACAGAGGAAGCGCCTGTGTGCTATGTGTATGGTGATATGAAAATACGCGTCCTGCAAATCGAGGACTCCGAACCAATTTTCCTTGCTCAGTGACAGTATAATTTTGCTTAGCGTGACCATTTTGAAACATTGCTTCTTGATGTATCGGTTTAAGCGCCTCAGATCGAGAATAGGTCTCCACCCCCCGGATTTTTTGGGAACGAGGAAGTATCGAGAGTAAAACCCTCTGCCCCTGAATCTTGTGGGAACTACTTCTATGGCTCCTATAGCAAGAAGATGACATACCTCTTGCTGGAGCTGAGTCTTATGTGATGGGTCTCTGAAGAGGGACGGGGTGGGTGGAGTAGTGGGAGGTATGGAGACGAAAGGTATCGTGAGACCTGAATTTATTACTTCCAAGACCCAGTGGTCCGAGGTGATGTCGCGCCACTGGTGATAATATGGCTTGATGCGGTGGTGGAAGAGAAGGGTGGTGGTGGGTTCTTCTACCGTGAGCACTGAAGATGTGTTCTTGTCCTCGACACACGAGTTAAATTTGCTGTTTGGCGTTCGCCCGGGCTGGCGCATGATTGGACTGCTGGCGCTTGCGCTGCGGACGCTGTCAGAATCGAGATTGGTCAGGAGCACGCTGCTGACGTTTCTGGAATGGATAGTCATATCTCCTTTGGAATGGATAGTAGCGCCTACGCTTAAAGGGGAGGAGGGTAAATACATCCCCAGCGTCCGCAGAGTGGTGCGTGAGTCCTTATCGGAATGTAGGACGTTGTCAGTTGAAGTAGCAAACAATTTCTTACGAACAAATGGGAGATCTTCAACTTTGTTTTGGAGCTCCTTAGGTGCTCCTGCTGCCATCAACCAAGAGGCTCTGCGCGTGGCGATACCCGTTGCCATGGCCCAAATTGCCGTATCTGTGACATCGAGGGCGATTTGGAGCGATGTCCTACATGCAGAATATCCCTCTTGGACAATTGCCTTCAGCAGTGGTCTCTTAGTCTCGGGAAGGTGCTGCATCAGCTCCGGTAATTTGGCATAATTATCGAAATTGTGGTTCGAGAGAAGGGCAGCGTAATTTGCGATCCTGAGCATTAGGGTCGATGGTGAATAAATCTTGCGTCCAAACAAGTCAAGCTTTTTTGTGTCCTTATTTGGGAGCAAGATTCTGAACTGAGAGGCCTTGTTCTTATGGTGGACTGCATCCACTATTAAGGAGTTGGGCTGAGGATGATTGAAGAGAAAATCCATGTCTTTAGATGGGACAAAATACCTCGTCTGCTCTTTTGCTAGTAGGCGGGATCGTTGTGGGAGTCTGCTAGATCTTGAGCGCCACATCCAAAATTGCCTCATCGATTGGGAGTGTGATCTTGCATCGTTGCTGGGGATGCAGATTTTTTGGTAGCTTATGCTGCTTCACCTGTGGTTCAGACAGCTGAACCTCCTGGTCTTGTGCCACCTGCTTAAAAAGGTCCTGGAATTCCTTGAGGTCATCAGGTGGCGAGATGAAGAGCGCACATTCGCAGACATGTCTGTTTCTGCATCCGAAATCTGTCCCTCCTCAGGGTGCGAATGGTCTTGCTGCAGATCCGGACTTCTTGGAGGGGGTGGTACATGAGCTGGTGTTCGCGGCCTTGACTCATCATGATGAGAAGGCGGACTGAGTGACAGGAGAACGGTGACCTCCGATGGGAGCGGGAGTGGCTGTGACGAGTTAACACATAGTACAGTAAAACTCCATTGGTCCGGTATCCAATGCTCCGGCACTCCTGATGGCCCGGCACCATCGGGAACCCGGAAGTGCTCCAGGCAGCCAGACAATTGGAGCTGCTCTGTGCCAGGCTTCCCTGATTCAGCCGCTGCTGACACCGACCAGCATTGACTGAATGGGGAGGCCTGGGGCAGAGCCTGACTCTGAAGGGGGGGCTATGAGGGGCTG